CTTTTTGGCGCGTCGCGTTGGTTATATTTATAGACATGTGGATGCTTTCTAGAAAATGCAGATTTATGTAACAATACTAAGCTACATTTAAGCGTTTATGTGCTTACATATATTGTTGATTCTTACTCTCAAGAATCTTCTGCAACTTTAGAGAACAGGTGGGAGTTTCGCAAAACGTATCTAACATTATAAGCTGTGCATGTTTTTAACTATAAACTTAATCTAAATAATGTTGATATTAAAATAAATATATAATAACAAATTCGTTACAATACTCTTTGAGAACTCCAGTTTATGCTTAAAATCGCTACGTCTATCGTATCCTTGTGCTTAAGCTACTTAGATACTCGTCAAAGTTATTCTCTACACTTCCTTGAAACCTCGTGCTTAAATTACTTAAAACTTATCAAAACTCATATCTCGTTCTTAAATACCTAAACCTTTGTAAAACCTCGTGTTTAAACTACCTGAATACTTATAAAAATATTTCTAAACTACCTGATATCTTGTCAAAACTCATGCTTCAATTATTTAAATAATTACGAAAGCTCAAAAGAAGTTATATATATATATAGGTGTTTATTGCATAATTACTTAGAATATATCTTAATCATTTATCATATTCCCTACAAATTGATTTTAAACAATAAGTATCTTATTAACAATGATTCATCAAGTGAATATTCACCGAAGCTCGATTTTATATGCATTCAAGCAAAATTACCCGTCCCCAGTGACGAGAAAAGTTTAAGGTAATCTATCAATTTAATATATTTCCTAGACTTTAAAAAAGTTAATTATGTTGCACTTTTGGTTTCACTCGGAGCCAAGGCTCTGAGCTACTTATACCGCCCACAGAGAAAAGTAATTGTTGAGCATTTCAGTCATGCTAAGAGCTACTCAACAGAAACATACGGTAAATCTACATTTTTATTCTTTAAGTTACGTCACATGTTGAAACGTGAATGATAGTGTTATTAATTCCTAACAATTTGTGTAGAAAATCCTGCTCGCGAAACATAATTTGGCATGAACAATATTCATGCCTGTTCTCCCGTCATTTAAAAAGTGAATGTTGAGATTTGCCTGCCTGCTCATCCGTTTTTTTAGATAAAATGCACAGGAAACTCCAGCAGTAACTTGTAATATTGACCGTATTTTGTTTACAGTTTTGTCATACACATATTATTAGGGACCTTGTAACCAGCAAAGTCATGGGTCCACAAATACATAAATAGTTGGTACATAAATAGTTTAGAAAAACATTTTTATAAACCCGATGGGGATATTAGTCCCGTCGATAATTCTGGGGCTCGTGTCGCAAGTGGTGCTCATTTTGACTAATATCATATTTGCACATCCCATTCGATCCTGGCTAAAGTGAATTTCCGAGCAGGCAGAAATATGTACGTTTTAGCAACCTCTATGATCAGCTCAATGAGCACCTACACTAATTATTATTATACAAAACATGTTGCTATACATACTAATAATTGACAA